AAGGCTCTCCAGGACTGCCCTCGACTCTCAGACTGCGTCTATCGTGCTGTGCTCCCCAAGACCAACTAAAACAACTTTATTCATTTTCAAAACTCTAACCAATTACAAAGCAGTAAAACGACTCTAGGGCGTAACCTTCAATCATAAAGCCAATCACACTAAGTACTGAATACGTCATATCTTTTGATTAATCGTTCACTAACTATGAATATAAACTGTCAGAATGAGTAGTCTAAAAAGCGGCGGCTATCTGGTAATTAGTTCCAAATCACTGAGCCAAGTTCCGTCCAAAACTTCAAATAGGTCTAAACGATGACAGACATAACACAGCAATTCAGCTAATAATCAGCTAATTAAGTCGGTCAACAGATACGCAAAAACAAATTCATGACACTATTTCTAGTTCCTGGTTTTTTACATGAAATTTCATTTTTTTAAATAATTTGCCAGATTTATTGAATATGATTACTTTTGATTTTGTTATATTTATCTCTAATTTCCATTTATGGCAGTATGTAGATAGTGCATTTAAAGCATTCTGTAGGCCCTGTTTTGTCTGTGAGAGAATTAATAAATCATCAGCATAAAGTAGGCATGAAAGGTGATTGTTTAGTAAGGTAGGTGGGTCATTGTCAGATGAGTCTATATGATGTTTGATGTCATTTATGTAGAGCTTGAATAGTAATGGACTTTAGTAGTCCATCGCCTAGTCTTATACCTCTTTTTACAGGGAATTTCTTGGGTGTTCCATGTTTTAATTTAACACAACCCACTGAGTTTAGATAAATGAATTTTATTATTTTATAGAATTTTCCTGAAATGTCATGTTTTCTGAGTTTGTACAGTAAGCCAAGATGCCAGATAGAATCGAAGGCTTTCCTGAAATCAATAAAACATGCAAATAGGTTTTTCCCATTCGTCAGATATTTTGTCAATAATTGTTTTAGTACAAATATGTAATCTCTAGTGCTGAATTTTGGCATAAAACCAATTTGTTCCTTGATTAACGTGTTATTATCTTTCATATGACTTATTAGTCTACTTTTTAAAATTGCAATGAAAAGCTTGCTTAATGTATTAATTAAAGTTATTCCCCTGTAGTTTCCGGGGTTACATTTACAGTCGCCGATAATATAACTCGTGGGTTATTAGATCTGATAGAGAATATTGTCGGAGCCATTTTCTGAGTTGCATAGGGCAGTTAATCTCCGATTATATTGTATAACATTTGATAATTTTGGAAAATTGCTCTAATAGTATTCTCTATTAGATCTAATAGAATCCATTGGATTTATTATCAAATTGTGTCCGATATTACCGGAGAATAACTCGAAAGATGGCTCTAATAATAAAACTTGGGCATTCAGGTTGACGGCACTCAGGCTCTCTAATGGATGTGTCTATTAGATCTAATAGACCCAACAGATTTCATTTTTAGCTCCGCTGTCGACTTTGTCGCTTATTATATGAGTGATTGTCCGTCGTCGTCCGTCGTCGTCCGTCGTCCGTGTCAATGTTTTACTTTTTCGAATTCTTCTTGAAAACTACAAGCCTGAATGCTTTGATACTTGGTGTATATGTACCTTGGGTAGACCTCTCCCAGATTTGTTCATTTCATGATCATATCTTCAATTCTCTAATTTTGGTGAATATTTTTGTAATTTTTGGTAAAAAGTGATATTTTCGACTTCTTGTTAAAAACCGCAAGTCCAATTGCTTTGATATTACATATATAGGTACTACATGTGTATCTCTCTGAGATTTGTTCATTTTGTAATGATATCTTCAATTCTCTAATTTTGGTGAATATTTTTGTCATTTTTGGTAAAAAGTGATATTTTCGACTTCTTGTTAAAAACCGCAAGTCCAATTGCTTTGATATTACATATATAGGTACTACATGTCAACCTCTCCCAGATTTGTTCATTTTGTAATGATATCATTAATTCTCTAATTTTGGTAAATATTTTTGTAATTTTTGGTAAAAAGTGATATTTTCGACTTCTTGTTAAAAACGACAAGTCCAATTGCTTTGATATTACATATATAGATACTACATATGGACCACTCTCAAATTTGTTCATTTCATGATGATATCTTCAATTCTCTAATTTTGATGAATATTTTTGTCATTTTTAGTAAAAAGTGATATTTTCTTCTTGTTAAAAACCACAATCATTTATGGTTAAAAATTATATTTTTGAATTCTTGTTGAAAACAGCAAGTCCCATTGCATTGATACTATGCATATTGTTCATTTTCTAATGATACAATGTATCTTCTGTTCTTTATTTGAAATGTGCGTTGCTAGCAGCGAAGCTATCTCAGCCGAGAGGCTGCTTGTTACATAATCTATTATCCTATATTAAACCTAATGACATTGTCACACCCTCGTGTAGTGCTCTTGTTGGCGTTGTTGTATAACGCAGCTGCAGGTTTTTTTACGAGATGGAGCTGCCAACACCACGCCCTACCCTCCTTTTCCGGGCTTGGGACTTGGGCGATGTCCAACAACCTGACACGACAGTCCCAGGCCAACAGTACTGTACAGGGAGATTGTTATCTTACTTTCAACGTGCTTATTGACAAGGGTACTTTGGATGTCAGGGGGATGTCATAGTCATCTGCCAACCCCGCTGACGACCTCGTTACGTGTTTGTTTACGTATTCAAATTGTGCGTTTGTGTTGTGTAACCGATTGCGTTGTACAATTGAAATATCGCTGTGGTTTTCTGCATCGGTATTGACAATATTTTTATGATTGTCTTAGTAATCGTATTTGAATAATCTGTTCGTACTTGGACTTCCAAAATTGTCCAAGTTCGGCAGGCAGCATGGTGTTTACGTGGTTGTCCGATTAACGTGCAGACGCCATTACAGTGGCCTGCCGGCGCGATTTGCATAAACTGTCAAGTCGAGAGTTGTATCAACAACAATAAAGATCGCAGGTGGCACAATAAAAGGGTATTTTAATCCGGTTTTAATCTGCGAAGACCGGTTCACAGAGAATCGGTTATACCTCATGTATGTCTCTGAGGTTGTACATTTATCCACAGACCTTAGAAAACAGGGACATGCAACTTCTGTCTGAGACAAAGGAAAATCCAGTTTCCTGTGAGCATAGAGGTAAAAACGGCTGTAAAAACCTCCATGCTGTGTGCAACGTGGGTTATAATCTCCTGTATAGATAATCCCATTAATACATATACCTATACATCTGAAACAGTTTTAGTTCTTACCTTTCTACGCTTTTTTATATGTTTGATAAGTTATGCTGTGCCAATATTCACATTTGTCAGTGTATAACGGGTGCACTATGCTATATCTGTTCTAAATATGATGAAAAAACCACTTGTTATTTATATTTTTATTTATTTATTGACACTTACTCACTCCCCGGAGAGAGTGCCAATGGTTACAGATAATAGTAAAAGTATACAGTAATAATACACTAATAAGGAAGTAATAAAAAATAAACTAATCTACAAAAACAGAATATTAATGGAAGAACAAATAATAATAAAACAACTCCTTCTAAAAGAAAGATGTATATTAATCCCAAATTTGTTGTCTAATTTCAAAGCACTTGTTGATATACTGTGCCATTACTGTGCCAGGCCTTGTCTACGTTTAGGCAGTTTTGTTTTCTTATAGAGAAAACAAACCATTTTTGTTTCCCTTTTCCTGTTTTCATAGTAGAATAAAAAATGTTAACTTTGCAATTTTTAGTTTCACTCGTACCAATAGAATAGACTTGGCTATTCAGTTTTAATCAAATGTAATTTTTCTGAATGTATTCTAACCACAAAGTTGGCTCATTTTGTGTAGCTACTCCCTGGCAGCCATGTTTGGCTTATGCTGCTTATGTAACAGGAGAGGATGTAACAGTGGTGTTGACATAGCATAGCTTTATTGTCAGTTTCACCTCAGACAAGTAATACTAGTAATACTAGTCTGAGGTTTCACTAAGGCTTTAATAGACCTTTTTCCGTTCACTGCGAGAATCACGCGTTATGCGTGAAATCGAACGTAAACACAGGACAAACACAGGTCATAGCGTCGTAGTGGCGTCAAACATCGCGTGGGATTCGACAAACGCGAAAGTATTTCGGGGACATTTCCATGCTTAATAATGTGCTGTCCACATTTGATGATAGGCAATTTCGATTAAGTGAATGAATGAATGAACTTTATTGTTCCCGTGTAAAAAAAAGAGTAGGTTACATAGGGTGTTTGCAACAATAAAGAGTTTTTGTTAACAAGACAATATTTTGAAAATAACTTGAATGAATGTACTTAAAATTCACAAATAAATAAATATGTATAAAAATAAATACACAAATAAATTATTAAAGAAATCTAATCACTAATTTTGGTCGCAGCTAAAATAAAGTTCGATATTAAGTAAGGGTATTCGGAAGCAATATTCCTCTGTCGAAGATCGGCCGGTCAATGTAAGCTACGAAATAAAGAAATTCTAGTTCAAAATCAAATCGTTCGATTTTTGCGGCAGACGTTCGACGCGCGTCTTTCATGCATCTCACAAGATCTCGCAATTGTACGGAAAATCACCTATTGGGTAGAGGATTATCACTAAGGTTACATGAAAAGAATACCCACACTATTATAGTTCCATGCCGTGACTTATCGTACGATGTCACTAAGCGCGGTAAATAATGGGCGGGGCGGGGCTTATTCGGTTATCTCATGAATATTCATAACTTGCGTTATAGCTTGTTCATCAATCCGCTCACTGTTTGACATCGTTGCCGTATTCAAGATGTCTGCCCTATATAGTAAATTGATCTTATTTATTTCATTATTACTTGTATGCCAGCTGACCGTGGAACTGTGGTTCACCATTAATTCTGGAGTGAGCAGGTTTATTAGCGAACGCAAAATATGAATATTCATGAGTTAACCTCATAAGCCCCGCCTTTGTTTATGACGTCACGCAATAAATTTGTAACCGGTTCTTACTGAACCCGGCATCGCGGACGGACGAAATAGCCATAAAGCTATATTCTCCTGAGTAGTGCATTTTCATCTTCGCGCGAGTGTGTGCTATGGCGGCAAAATTACTACGGGGTTGCCTGCGTACTATTACACCAGAAATAAAACCCGTGAGTGTACAACAGCTGTCCAAATTACTGATTCGTTGTAAGAGCTCTGCCACACAATTAGATGTTGATGTCCAACAGCAGCGAGAAGCTTACGAGGAGCGCGAACAGACAGAAACAGTGTTAGACGTCAACTTTGCGAATGCCGAAGAGGCCTACAAGAGTAAAACGACTGCGGAATTAATACGCTCTATTTTGGTGTTTAAGTTATGTACGTTTGATCTGCTCGTCGACCACAACAAACAGGTATGATTAACTTTCATTGGTAACGAGTATTGGTTGTTATGTTCATGGTCACACTGTTCGATTTTCAGGTGTGGCTGTTCGATCGGCAATAAAAGGATAAGCTGACATTACATGCAGTGGTATATAACTGAGGCAGTTTCTATTCTTATGTAAAATTGGCATTTAAAACATTGTCTTACACTGATTCAGTGGTTCTTTTTGTAAACAACATCCAAAGCGCGTGATAGACCCCCCATTATTACCTCCGTGCACTGATAGACTGGAACACACCGGCTGGCACGAAGTGCGTCATTCGTTCAACGTGATACGTGTAACTGACATAGCCCACATCACACCCACAAATTCAGCCAATCAGAACCCATTTAATAACCAGTTGTTTGTATAACCGTAGTCCCTCAGTCATAGTCATGGAATATATGAACTTGACATTGTTGCGCAGATCCGATAGTTAGTATCATTGCGAAAATGTCTATCATATATACTGTGGTATATTTCACTTATTTTGAGTATGACTTCTAAAAAACTAGTAATAAGTCAAGATACAGACACTGATCACATTTTAGTAGATTTTCTCAGTTATTTGTACCATTCCAGCAGTAGTTGAGTCTGTAATTGTTTTGTAAATATCTCATCAGTGAATTTCAAGTTTTTTTTATATATAATATTTATAAATTTAAAATATCTTGCTTAAAACTTAAAGGGTGGAGGTCATCGGGCAGCGTGTTTTTGAAATTTCATGTAAACAAACAGTACATTTTACACACGTTGTGTACATCGCCATAAGTCTCATATTGAACAGGACGAGGCAGGCGAGGACCACCACCCTTGAATCAATCACAATGCGTAAATGAATGCGTGGCAGAATATTGGCCAATGATTAGAGGAAACCCACAAAGACTCATGGGTAATGGGTATTATCAAATGGCTTCTACAGCCAATGTAAGCATATTTTTTGGATTTGAATGAAGTGTGAAGGTCTCCCAAAATAAAATAAATTTGTGAAAAAAAAAACACCTTCATGAAATTCGCTGCAAACCCCTCAGATACGGTTAGGCCACACTGATTAATTTTTTATGGATGACATCCTCTGGAGACCCCAAATCTAATGCGAGAGGGCGAAAAAAAAAAATCCTGCTAAAACCACAGGACTACGAAGCTGCTATTACGAATTGAACCACAGAACACAATGTATCAAAAAACAACAAGAAGTCTTTATTTGTAGGAGGCACATGTTGATATACACATCTCGTACTGTATTACTGTCACAGGTATAACCATTTCAGACAAGCTCTAGTAGTCATGATGAAGTACCTTCAGTCAAAACACTGCATTCAAGGTACAACATGAACATCATTTTCAGTACAAGTCAAGGCGGAATGTACTACACTACTTTTATGCTCACGTATTCCCGGCAATGCAATACGCATGTGCAGAAGATCATTTACGACAAAATTGGCACGTTTTTAGATAGTCCAAAAAGAGTTTTACGACAAGCCGGCGCTTTGCGACAATATGAGTCGGCAAGTTCCAGACAGAAAACCGATCTGTTTAGACTCGTCGTCGGAGATTTTTTTTTTTTTTTTTGAGAACAGGCGAAAACTAATGCGCGCGTGGATGTCATCCATAAAATTAAGTCGGTGGGGCCTTACTAAAAAAGATCAATCTTTTTGAGTAACCGTGCCTCAAGTAACAAACGACAACAAACATTTTTGTTTGTTGATTTTAGACCTTTAGAATCCTTTATACCAAAACTGTGTTAGACAATAGTAGGCTATAATGGTAATCTTGTAAATAGACCAATGTCAATATAACTGTAAATCTTGCCCAACCAAAACAGATAAACATGGATTTGATCTATGCATACAAATTCAAGTGGTAAATTACCGAGTATACATTTGCATAACAAAGTATATTTGCAGGTCATGACTTGTTGTTATGGATAAGCTAGTTGATATACAGTCCATTAGTTGATACAACCAATGAAATTGCCCTCAATTCCTATCATATGAATAAAATATGCATGTGATGTCTACATGATACCCCAAAGTATATGCACGAAGACAGTACAGCAGAGTATCGACCGACATGCAGCGGAGGTCCATGCATCTGCATACTGTCTGAGAGCATACTTTGAGGTATCCTCGTAATAACCTTATTATTATACATCTTTTCCTTTCAAGGATACATCATAGGAATGCCAAAATCCAAAAAGTTTAGAACAGAATCAGCGAACATTTTTGTGTGGGGTAAAACCTTGGTGGCAGCCATTTTTATTATAAGACAATGCTTATGCGCTTAATCATTGATTTCATATTTGGAATTCACATTTCCTTATATGGTAGGATGAAAATACCTTGTAAAATGTTGCAAAATTACGGCACGGTGTAACATATGGCGTTACGATGACAGATGTATAATAATAATTATTAACCAACCAGATAATGTTTATAAAACACCATAATATAGTTATACATAGTCATAACATGCTCCTATAAGTGGCCCTTGTATATATATTTTTTTGGGGGTTTGGTTTTTCTCTTTTTATTTGGTATATGTCTTTTTGTGTACGGTATATTCATTTTGTATAGCACAAGTATTTGTTGTAAGCATGGAACTATATAGTTTGTACATCTTTATTAGTACCACATAACTCATGATACTGATATGAAATGTACCATATGGCGTGTTTCAGAGCAGTGTGTAATAGTACATCCCTGGGAAGCCAATCAAGGTGACCAAGGTCAAGATGATTTACGGTCAAGTTGACCTATCTTTAGTTCTCAATGCACAGGACTACAGCCACACCTAGAACATGGATGCTAGCATAAACTAGACTGAAAACTGTTTTAAACCTCCAACTCTTTTACAATATTTTCTTGTGAACTTTTAGACAGTGGTTATACTGAAATTCCATACACATATTAATAGTTGAAATAACAGAAAAATACCTTATTTTGTGAGCTCTTATTTTTGTATTATGTATTTTTGTATCTGTCTTGATTGCAATTTGTAGACATGTATTTTGGTGTCATGTTTATTTATATATTTGCTTTTGTTAATTTTTTATTTCTTCCCTACCGAAGGTGGTTTTATTTTAGGTTTCATGTCACATTAATTGTCTATTTGAGTTGTTGTTCATTTTATAATTGGAATGAATGCAAATATTATTATTTTTCAAAAATTTAATTTTAATTTTATTTTTATCTGATTTTGTTCTTTCACTCTATGCCACCTGAGCCTACAATTTTAGTATGGCATAAACTCAAAGGAACCAGTAGTGAAACCTTTTTAATACGTACAATTTACTGATTAAAATTCATAACCACAATTTTCTTGAAAAATACTGGTAGGTAGGAGACCCAGCACCTAGCCTAAGAGTACAAAATGGATCTGTGTTGAGTATTTTTGTTCATGGCTCTATACAGTTTTGGGTAACACGATCGAGGGTCAGTAGTAGAAATGTTTGCATGGAAATCTTTAAAGCGTTAGATATGGGACTCATAGCGACGTATACAACACATGTAAAATACATTATTTATTTACATGAAATTCGAACATCCGCTGTGCGACAACTACCGCGCTTTAAACACTTGACAATCCAAACATTTGATCAGATTCAAATTCAAAGAATACAATTTGTTACTCTAATAATATATTACATGCATGTACTTTCTACCCCTTACTATACTACCCTACATGGAAATCAGATGTAAACGTGGGCAGCATTGTCATGTAGTTCCTGACCACTACCCTCATAATTAATATAATCTAATATGGTGTCCTGTGTCAAATTTATGAGTCCGGCTTTGCATATGTATAAACCCCTATTTGACTATAATTGACCCAGATCGTAATGTCGTATTGTCTCTAATCAGAGTACAGGTGAAAACCTCTGACGAGAGATTCAGTAAACCTACATATTTCATTGTTAGAAGATCCTGCCTTATTTTAGCAATTTACACTTATGAATATTATTGTACTGATTGTATACAATGTAGCAAATTTATAAGTATCTCTGCTTGTGTCAAGATTTTCTGGAAAGTCAGATTTGATGGCAGAGAAGAAAAACATAAAACTTCCCTGTGAACAGAATCTGGTTGTCAATCACACATAACAGTCACAAACCACCCTTTGTTATCTGTTGTTGTTTTTTTATTTACTTGTGCTTTAGTAGACAGACGTTTAGCATCTTAAAATTTGAATATACACCTCTGTAATTCTGCCCACAGTGCTCTGTGACCACCTTTATTATGATTTTTTTCCAGTGTTGATCAGCACTTGAAATGAGTTTGTTGACATTTAAGCTAGTACCCGGTATTTCCGAACAGGTTGGCGATGTGCCAATTACAGATTAGTTGTCAACAGCTCCCAATAGTTATCAATAGAAACGACTTGTTTATAAAGATTGTTGATGTATCTACTGTACATAAACCATTCACATGCATGTAATAATAATTTTCTTACATTTTACATATGTTTCAGGGATGAAGAAATTTAAATAAAAATTACGAGTCCACTGCAATCGGCTCGGAGAGAATTTATTTGAGTGAAAATAACATGTTTTGTACGATTTATAGGATTCTATATTGTATGGCAGGGTTACATCTTAAAAATGTTGCTGGATGAAACTATGTTGAGACATTCCTCGTGTAAATAAATACACATCAAGTTATGTTCCTTACGCAATACATCAATACAGGACATGTAACTATGCAGTTACATGTATGGATGCATTCTTGGTCCAATGGATCATGTAGATTGTGATGTTGTTTCTGATATTTGGTTGCCTAAAGCTATGTGGTTTTTTTTTCAAATTCTAATACCAGCCATACTGGAATCTTATCCTGAATCAAATGTGATTGGACATGTTTCATGCAAATTAAACAGAACAATGCATTTTGAATTGAAATCTTATTTTTGTTTCTGTATGGACAGTTACTCAAATATGGTAGGAAATTGCTGGGTAAAAGAATATTTGAAAAGTTAATGACAAGTACGTTTTATGGTCAGTTTGTTGCTGGAGCCGATCAACCAACCATACAGCCTACCATAGACAGGCTGCATGCATACGGGGTTGGTTCAATATTGGACTATGGCGTTGAGGAAGATATACCACACCAACAGGCTATTGAGGCAGAAATGGAGTAAGTATTGTATTTTCTGATTGTACCAGTATTTGTAGCATGCATGTTCAATTATTTTTCTT